CGCCACACGCGTTAAGTCGCTCGCTCGGCCGAAGACGGATCGAATCGGAGGCACGTGACAAAGCCAGGTGCTGAGCTGGTGCCAATAATTTGCCCAAGCCTCTGCGATCCTCTCTGCTATCGGCCAATTAAAGGGCGTGGTAAAAAACGTGTGGGAGGAAACCGGAGCACCCTGAGATGGTGGCAAGATGTTAAATACCTCGCGCGGTATACAGGAGGTCGTGGGGTCTATTCCGATTCAGACCCTGGCGCCTGCTACTGTATATTTGGAGTTTGAGTGTTTCCCTCCCCGTGGTCGCGTGGATTTTTCTCCAGGATCCTCCGGTTTTTCCCTCCATTTAGAATCCACGTGCGTTTAGAGTATTTAGCTGCTACAAATTTCCACGTGATAAGCTACTTCGTTGAGCGGTAGCTTGCGATAGCTTGCGATAGCTTGCGATAGCCAGGTCACTTCTGAAAAGGAACTATTTATTTTACCGGGTAAAATAAAAATAGTTTGAATAGTTTAGTTTAAAACCCACTCGTGCAAGGCGGGGGGGCAGCGGGGGCGGGGGAGCAACAACCCGTACAGATGGAACGGGTGGAGATTAGTCCGCACTGTCGTTCACAACATTTTGTGCGGTGATCCACCAACCCTGACTGCTGCTTCCACGCCGCTGCATCGCTTGGAGTCGGCCGTCGTGCGGCGGCGTAGCCACCCACCGGTGCCGAAGGTCGAGCGTGTTGCGGGTGATCTGCACATCGCTGGGACCATCAACTTGCACTTCATGTGGTCAGCGGTGTCACTGCTGGTTATTGGCGCTGTGATAGCGAAGGTATTTTATAATGTTTGCCCTTCAACCACCGCTGTTTGCTCGATCTGCTGAACCCTTGATTGCCGTTCCCGGGGTAGTCGGCACTTTTCCCTATCGCGTAGAAGAAACGGACTCCTCGGTGGCGCGGCATTTTGTGTGCACGCAAACTCGCAGTGTCACCGACACCACCAGCTCCAAAATAAGTCAAGAGGTGGTCGGGGGGGGGGGGGTGGCGGGGGGGGGGTCACTCAACAACAGGGCAAGGTGGGGGTTGGGGGGGACTCCCAGGCGCATACGGCAGCAGCGAACATTGATGACTGCACCACACCGATGAGTCCCAGTGAGGACGAAGCACGGCCACTGGTTGTGTGCCCGTCTCCCTCGCCGCCCGTTGTTGGGGTGGCCACGTTGATGACTGCACCACACCGATGAGTCCCAGTGAGGACGAAGCACGGCCACTGCTTGTGTGCCCGTCTCCCTCGCCGCCCGTTGTTGGGGTGGCCGCGACTTTCTCGACTCTCGCTGGATGGACGTCCTGTGAAAGAGAGCTTCGTAGCTCATCGGATTCCTCCGGTTTAAGTAAATATTGTTCTTCTGACGCCGTGAGTCCGGTGGCTCTAAAGTGACAGAATGGGTGCCACGAGAGAGCTCTTGTATGTGAAGAAGCTGCTGCTGCTGCTGCTACACACCTGTGTGTGTGTCTGTGTGTGTGTCTGTGTGTGTTGTTGTTGGGGGTTGGGGGGAGCGGTGGTGTAGCGGTTAGCGTTGCTGCGCTATGAACCCGATGACCCGAGTTCGATTCCCACTCGCCAGTGACGATTGTCTGTACCGGTCCTGGGCTTCCCCTAGGTCGACTCAGCCTCAAGTTAGTACCTGGTGCGGGGAGACAAAGGCGGCTGGGCGTGGTGCTGACTACTCACTCCCTCTTGTGCCGTTCTGGCCTTCATAGGTGCTCGCTAACAGCACTTGAAGCAATTGGCGGGACCCCGGGGTCTCATCACTGCCCCGGGGTGGGAAAAACCGCGTAGCGACACGAGTCTTGCTGCCTTACCGACAACAAAACTAGTGGTCAATCGATTGGCCTCGTCGAGAGCTACTCGGGGCACTAAGTTTCGTAAAAAGTTGAAAAATTACATAAACACGTTAAATTCACTGCCTGGGGGGGCGGGCTCGCCTTGGCAAGGAAGCTGAGGATCGACGGCTGACGGAGGGCGTCGTCGCCGCGCGCGACCGCGGCAGACGCCCCCCGGGGCTCGCGTTTGGCCGGTGGGGTGGCGCCCATCGTGTCGATCGCCGCCTGCTGCTGCTGCTGCTGCTGGCGCTTGTTGGCGCGAGTCTGGGCGGGCGGCGCGTTGCTGTCGGGATCACGTAGTAGGCGGACTGAAAAATAATAATTATTGACCTGATTTTTGCGGGACCCCGGGGTCCCGCCAAATGATTCACTTGTCCCATCAATCTGTTATGCTGTATAGGGGATCTTTGTCTTTGAGTGTGTTAAAATCTGTTTGTTTCCAGCCGGCATTAGTGTTTTCGTTGTGATGGGATTCCTCATTTACAGATTTCAAACTATGTAGACTGTTACAAAACAAATAACAATTAAATAATGTGCCGTCATCAGAAAATCGCACCTTGAAGTCTTTGTTTGAAGAAAAAAACAGCTGGACACCAATTGAAAGCACGGCAAATAGCATATAGAAACCGTTCACCAATTATCATCCATGATTTATCCACTGCTGGATGAAGGCCTGCCCTGCGCACGCCGTCACCCACATAGGCCGATATCATCTTTCCACCTCCTGTGAAGCGGTGGTGCGATGTTAACTCCCTCGCCTGGTATACAGGAGCCCGTAGTTTCGATCCCGACCCTGACGATGCCGGCATATTCGGAGTTGGCGGTGTCTCTCCACCCCGTGGTCGTGTGGATTTTGCTCCGGGCCCTCCGGTTATTCCCCTTCCACGTTTTAGAATCAACAATGTGCCTTGAGAGTATTTGGCTGATATAAATTTTTACACGATGAAAAGCCACTTCCGTTGGGTTATCATTTGCGATAGCCAGGTCGCTTCAGAAAAAAAATATTTACGTCGCTCGGTGAGCATTATCTGGTAAAATAAAAAAAAAAGTTTAGATTAATAGTTTAGTTTTAGTTTAGACTGCCGTTTCCACACACCAGTCTTGTCCCATCAGCCATCGTCGTCCCTCCTAGCCGTGACGACCTCCTGGCCCGAGTCCACTCATGCGAGATGGTCGACATGATGTCCCCGATTTTTTCTTTTTTGTCATCCACCGCAAGTTTTGTGAGGGGGGGTTCACACCAGGATATGAATGGGCTCAATATATTGATCGAGGTGGGGTGGGGGGGTCTGTGACGAAATCGCATGGAATGCAGCCGGTCTCGTCCGATTGGGCAGTGGCGGCGTGGGAGTTTACGTCTTCTCCTCCTGTTCAACTCCCTTCCTTCCCCCTGGGCGTCGAGGAGGAGCCGTGCACCCTGGGATGACCGGGAGAAGGCTTTCCGGCAAAATGCGGTCTTAACATCAACGGTCCCTTCTCTGCACGGGGATAGAGCGCTGCCCCTTTGCGCGTGTGCGTTTTCTCCTGGCGCTCTGGCTTCCTCCCACACGTACACATGCGCGCATCATTATTTGGCTGGAAACAACTTACTATATAGAGGTCTACAGAGCCTGGGGATGTTGTTGGTTGCGCCGGCCCTATCATTGCCTTGTTCCTGCCGCTGCCTTCCCGCTCGTCTGTGCTTCCTCAGCGATTCTGAGAGCTGAAATTTGCACAATGAGGCGATTGTATCAAAGTAAATGTCATCTCACAAGCCAAGCAGGGTTTGCGCCCAGGTAGTGCCTGGATGTGTGACCGCCCATCCATGCAACAGGTGTTATAGGCTTCGGGCCTACGCGGTGGACAGTGCAGCAACAGCCATTGCTGTTGTTCTGTCGTTCTCTCACGTCCGTGCCTCCCCACCTTCAGCCCAACCCGCACTTGCCAGCAGCGCGGTGAAGTATGGTAAACAATAACAGCCGCCACCCGTCCAGTGCGTCGGTTGGGAGGGGGGGGGCACTAATCCAGCAGTGCATTGACGAATAGGTTCCACGTGTACACACGTTTGGATAAAATTGTCACGCACTGTTATTCGGCCAGGAGAGCGTCGTCAGAATCAGGGGCGTACTCCCCCCTCCCCTACTCCCCGAGGTGAAGCCCCATTGAGCCTGTGAATCTCTGTTTCTTTCAAGGGGCGTCTCGGCCGGCAGATGCCGGCAGCAAAGCGTTGCGTCTGAACAATTTACAGTACCAAAAAAACCCAGCACCCGTCATCGCTGACCCAGCAGCAGAGGTCCTGTGGCAGTGGCCTTGACCTCCCTCGAAGTGGGGACAGCATTCAGCCGAACCCGCATGGGACCCGTTGATGGGGGAGGGCGATGATGATGATATAACAAAGATGAATATTGCTAATTATGGTGAATGATGATCATTTCACCGATATTAAATTATGAATGGATAATAATGATCAATCAATCTAAACCAACTAAACGAAACTAAACTTTTTATTTTACTGGGTAAGGCCCACTAAGCTATATAGCTCTTTTTCAGAAGTGACCCGGCCACAAATGATAGTTCAACAAAGTGGCTTATGTGGAAAGTTAAAGCGGCCAAATACTCAACACACGTTGTGAACGAAAGATACAAATGCACACGTTTTCTCATTGAAAATAGGTAAATTTGAAAATTTCACTGTCCTGGTCACAAAAGCAAAGTTTGTGGGGAATAATAGCCATTTTCTGTACTTTTTAGGCATAAGCAATTAGGAAATAACACTTACTACCAAGGAACACATTTTTTTTGTTACACAGTGTTATAAATGTGGAGGGGAAAAAACTAGAGGGCCTGGAGATAAATCCACGCGGCCATGGTGAGAGTGAACATGCAAACTCCAAATATACAGGCATCGAGCTTGAACCCACGACCTTTTGTATTCCAGGCGAGGGAGCTAACATCTCGCCACCGAGAGAAGATGGGATGAAGATTCAAGACCTGATTCGACCTCTGACCCACATTTGAACTTTGACCCCTTCTGACCCACAGCCACATCACCTGTCCTGGGACGTGGCGTGCGACCTCTCGCAGCGATTGCTCCACTCGCAACGGTTTTCTCCGTTGACGTTTCTCCCCCGTGTCGTCCGGTGTGTGGGGTTGCAGGGCTGTGATCCGTTCTACATGACACGCCGTGGCAAGCTGCAGACGGAGCGGATGAAGCTCAACGATCGCATCATCAGGGTGGCGCGGCTTCGCGAGGGCGCGCAGAACCTCTACAGGTGAGCGAGCGAAGCGGTGGGGACCCACACGTGTGCCCCCTCGTGCGAACTGTGCCCTCCCGGTCGACGTTGGGCCGACAGGCGAGTGAGCGAAGCGGCGGCGGGGGGGGGGATCCGCACGCGGCCCTAGCCTCGTACGAGCTGTGCCCTCCCCGGTAAACGTCGGATGTTGATCCCACGTTGGGCTCACGTTGGGCCCCTGTTCGGCTGATGCTGGAATGTTGGGCCCACGCTTGGCCGACGTTGGGCCAACGTTGGAATGTTGGGCCCACGTTCGGCTGACGCTGGAATGTTGGGCCCACGCTCTGCCGACGTTGGGCCGACGTTACAACCAACTTCCGTGATGCACAATAGCTTAGACGCGCATGCGCGGATCCCACAATCCACCACTGCACAAGTATCCCTCCCGCCGTGATGCCGCATTGCCAAGTCGCGATATAGTTCGAGGGGGGAAAAAACGGCGTGCAACTTGAACCGGTGTACGAATCGCGAATAATCGAAATTCACAAATGAAGAACCTGCGAATTAAAAGTTTTCGACTGTACAGTATATCAATTACAGGCGTGCTTGTTCTAATTATCGGGCGCTCCTCGCCCGTCGTGGGTTAAGCGGGTCGCTGCCGCGTGACCTCTACGTATTCCTACGACACAATAAACACATTGCGTGGCGGCATTGTGCCTCGTCACCCCCTCCCCCCCCAACCCTCCTACGAGGGGGGTGAACATTAAGCGCTCGTCTTTCAGAGGCCTAGTTTGCATACTATTTGCCTGCAAGATGTGTTGGTTGAAACCGGGAGAGTAAATAGGGGGAGGGGAATGGCTGGAGGGGGTGGAGGAGGCGGAGGAGGGGGGGGGGATGGAGGAGGGGGAGGTCATGAAACGAGCAGAGATTTCGGGCAAGGCTTTTGGGAACGCACACAAACGGTGGAAGACGCCGGCGGCGGCGGCGGCTCTTTGTCTCCAGCGTCCAGGGTTTCGCGTGCACGAGGGAGGGCAGTGCCGGATTAAGCTCGTGCGGAGCATGTGGCGCGTATATGGGGCCCTAAATAAAAAAAAACACGTAAATATTAAACTACAATTTTTTTTTACTTCCATAGTAAAGTCATTGTATTGTTTCATTTGCTATACAGCCAGATAATCCGACAAATTGATAACCTTAAACACCCAATTGTTTGTAAAAGTTGTAGGCGGTATAGCACTATAGTAACAGAGCAAGTGCAGAATCACTCGACGGGGAATTGATAGCTTGAAAGCATTCAGCGCGGGGCCCTTGAACGCACGCGAGGCCCTTGAAAGTGCGGGGCCCATAGCTACATATGTAGCTGCTTGTGCTACTAGGATAATCCGGCACCGAGGGAGGGGCGAGGGTGGATTGCACGTGCAGGGAGCCACTTGTTCTCTCTGCGGCAACGAGGGGCATGACGGAGCTTCTGAAGGCGCCGCGGCGAACCTCGGCCCTCGTCGTTCGCAGCGGCTGCCGGGAGACTCGGCCACAGCAGAAGTTTGACTCGCGCAGAGAGACTGGGGGTGGGGGGGGAGGCAGGGGGTGGGGGTGGGAGTCCACATCGACCAGAGCGTGGTAAGCAGTTGGCCTCCGAGCAGCGTCGGCGTGGTTGGTTGTTGGTCCGCACGGCCCTCGTCCAGAGGATGAGATGGGGGGGGGGGGAATCCACCTGCCGAATAAGCAGTCCACCCTCCCCAACCCACTACCAATGTCAAATGATCCGGCGATGCGGCGTTGGCAGTGGCGCACAAAGCACGAGCAACAAAATGTTTAAAAAAACTTATCTGCGCGTTCCGTGTCAATAACGACGCCCCGCGTGCGTTGTGGCTTTAAAATATATTTTTTTAAACCCTAATAAGGCAACGTTTCAGGCAAATTGTGCTCCTCCAAAGATCATGTCAATATGAAATAAGGGTACTCTTTGGATATTTTGCTTGCAACACAAGCAATCATCATCAGGTGGGAAAACCACAGCAATTTTTTTTTGCTGAAATGGGAGAGAGAGAGTTGCCGTGGTAAGAGGTTATATGGGTAAGAAAGGGGGAGGAGCAAGGGGGGAGAGGGAGGGGTGGGGGTGTGGGGTCGGGAGGGCGAGCGCTGCGTGGTGTAGTAGTACCCGGCAACCAATACAAAACAGTTAGGATTTTACCTGGTTAATAACGTGACTTTACCGAAAGAACCAAAACGTATAAATCCCTGCAGTCACGGACACTTCAAATCTAGATTGAAATAAGGGTAAAATAAATATTTAATAAGACGTTTCGGGCAATGACCCTTTTCACGTGGGTTATGCACCCATGTGCTCTGAAGAAGGCCCATGGCCCGAAAAGTCACCTATTTTTTATCTTGTTAAGACCGCCACACGCGCACAGACGCGCAGCGTTTATTGACATGGAACGTGTTGAGCTGTTGACGTTTCAGTCTCACGGGGATTTTTGTCTTTTTGTCCCCACGTTGCCTACAGCACATCCTCGCCGCTTCGCTGAATACGCCACGGTGGCGAGATGTTAACTACCTCGCCTGCGATAAGGTGGTCGTGGGTTCCACCCGACCCTGACGCTTACTTTATTGGAGTTTGCATGTTCTCCCCGTGGTCGCGTGGATTTTTCCCTGGGTCCTCGGGTTCCCCCCCCCCCCTGCACATTTAGAATCCGCATCATGTGTTTAAAGTATTTGGCTGCTCTAAATTTACATGTGATAAGCCGCATGACTGAGCTTTCATTTGTGGCCAGGTCGCTTATGAAAAACTGTTACATAGGGTCAGTGAGCCTAACTTGGTAAAATAAAAATAAAAAAAATGTAGTTTAGCGTGTTCACTCTGCCCGTGGTCGCGTGGATTTTTCTCCGGATCCTCAGGTTTTTTTCCCTTTCCACATTTAGAATCGACATGCATTTAGAGTATTTTTTTGGCTGCTATAAATTTCCGCACGATGAAAAGTCACTTCGTTGAGCTGTCATTTGTGATGGCCAGGTCGCTTCTGAAAAAGAGCTATGTAGCTGAGTGGGGCCTTACCTGGTAAAATACAAGTTTAGTTTTAGTTAAGAATGTGATGGATGGACGTAGATGGGTGGGTGGCGGTGCGTCACTTGGAGTCGCCACGGGCATATAAACGCGATGGGGCGGGGGCGTGCTGGATTATTGAATTAAAAAAAAATGCATTGCTATATTTTTCACGTGGATTATCACTCCTCGCGGCGGTGCAGGCACCCAGGGTATCGATCGAAACCCACACATACCAGACAAGTAAGGACACGCGCGCAGTACCACGTGCTCGAATGACTCGGTGTCACACATTTGGAGAGCGAATGTGGTGAGATGGGGCCCGCCGCCGGCTCGCGAGGAGTGGTAACTCGAAAGCTCTTGACAGCTGCACGTCTTTGTGCGAGCGTGGATTCATCGGGGATCTTGAATGGGTTTAGGGTGGCGGCACAGTTGGAGTGTCTGGGAGACCGTTCCGTGTCGAGACGGCTCTGGTGTCCGAGTGAGGAGAGTGTGGCCTGATTTTAGAACAATTGTGGGGGGGGTTTTGTTGTTTTTTTCTTTGGCTGTGTCGTACACCCCTCCACCATCCGGCGCAGTCGATTGGAGAAAGTTGTCACGCGGTGAACAAACGTGGCCAATTCATGAGTTGGGTCGATTTGATGCGTGTGGCGCCTTCCTGGCACAAACCCGCCCACCCAAAAAGCGCCATCGTCACATAAATAACACCCACAAGCATAAAAAGAAACAATTCTATACGGTAAATTTTTTTTTTTAAATATTAAACCCAAGTTGTGGCTGTGAGTTGCATGCTTGCATATAGGTTGAACTTCTTTCGCACGGTACGTAGCCCCACCATGATAATCAGTGGTGCGGGATAGTTGTTGTATGCGAGCGTCTAAGAAGGTGCGTCTTGAGTTTGTGGCGTGAATGCGGTGGTGGGGTCGATGGCGCGTCGTTGGCTCGGCGGAGGGTTGTTCCAGAGGTTGTGTGGTGGTACTACAGCACCACGGGCAAGGTTGTTGTTGTTGTTGCCGGACAGCGATCCGCGCACACATTCAACCGTTGAGTTACGGACGTTTCGCTGGTCGTTCCAACCGGCATCAATCTAAACTCAAACAAGAAGCATAAACCTATTAGTAAGGTTTGTCACGTAAAGAAAACGGTGCCAATTAGTTACTGCGACAGCACACCCGTGGTGTGTGTTGGAAGACTAAATCCGCAACATTTACAATTTGATTTAAAGCTTTCGTGACTGCAAGGATTCATCTTCTTTGGTTCTTTCGGTAAAGTCACGTAGAATGAGAATAAAATAATAAATTGATAAAATAAAATAACACAATAATATTCTCACGACGTTTCGGCCACAACACAAGTTATTTTATTTGATCAATTTATTATTTTATTCTCATTCTACGTGACTTTACCGAAAGAACCAAAGAAGATTTACAATTTGAGTTGATGGTGTTTCGCTGGTGATCACAACGACAACCAGCTTCATCAGGCGATGTGGCAACTTTACTCTGCCACTTTTTGTTGACGGGTTTGACGACACTGACATTTCACGTGGCATTTCTTTTGATGTTGTTGCCGGTACAAAAGTGTGAAAAATAAGAGTAGATTTCTACCCTTTCTCGCAATACACCAAGAGGCGCTAAGATGTTCAAACACCAAATAGATCTGGCGTTTGCAAGGAATCATGTCTGCGTTTAACCACACGTGCTTGTGGTGAACATGCAAACACAAACACGCTCTGATAATACACGCATTGTCTTAGAAACTGATTGGCGTACACCAGAGACGGCCTTCTTTTATGGCTTTGTCTTACCACCAGAGAACGCACAAAAGCGATCAGTACAAAGACATTTCGCCGAAATTTTTTTAAAAAGTTACACCGGTAAAGTTACTCGCTAGGGATCGCACGCCACGGCAGGCATCCGAAGCATCGGTAGCGGCAGAGAACATCTAGATTTGAAGCTTTCGTGACTGCAGGAATCCATACTCTTTGGTTCTTTCGGTAAATTCACGTAGCTAGAAATAAAATAAAATCACGATGTTTCGATTGCAACACAAGCAACACAAGCAATCGAAACGTCGTGATTTGATTTTATTTCTAACGACGTGACTTTAATCACGACGTTTCGATTGCTTGTGTTGCTGTTGTTGCAATCGAAACGTCGTGATTTTATTTTATTTCCAACTACGTGGCTTTACCGAAAGACCCAAAGAGCAGCAGATAATAATTTCACCCGTCGACTGCGAAAACTTGGCACAGGAGCCCTCCTTGGGAAGGAGTCTTGAGACTCGCGGAGGCTTTTCACACACAGAGAAGTGGTATGAATCGATACATTCAATCTAAAAAAAAAATCTGCCTTTTTAGCCGTAATAGGGCCCTGCGTTTGTGCTGTCTTCACCTGGGCCCGCTCGCCCCTTGCTACAATCACGGCGAGAGTCAACAGCCAGCGTGAGCTGTTCGGGTTCCTGCGTTCTGGCACGAACTCCCAGGTGGGCAAGAGGGCCTCGCCAAACGGGTTCCGTGAGATCCAGCCGGATTGTTTACGGCTTCCACTGCAGCGGGCGAGACAATGCCGGTCGGTCACGTGCGCGCGCGTGTAAATGTGTGCGTGTGCGTGGGTGGGGAGCGGTGGTGCAGCGGTTAACGCGCTGCGCTACGGAAACCTGGTCAGCCCAGTTCGATTCCCGCTCACTGGCCAACACCGGGTGACGATGATCGAAACCGGTCTCTCTCATCTTACTCCACTCCCCTCCACGCTCTCTCCTACATCTCCCCTCTCATCTCGCACCACTCCCCTCCACGCCCTCTGCTATCTCTGCAAATTCTTAAATTATTGCACGCCTACTATAAGTCGATTTATAAATGAACACTCGGAAGTCGAACTTCATTGTTGTCCTTTGATGGCCATACTTCACCACGCCGGTCAATGCGGATTGGTGCAAGAGTGGGGATGGGGTGGGGGGCATCGGGGCTGCTCAGGATGCCACTCAGCCCGCTGGCACCTTAGCTGGCCACGGCCGGGAATCAAACTCGGGCCGCCTCGCCTGCTCATTAACTTTTGCTGTTGCTGAGCCGCCTTATTCGCCGTGTCGGGAAGGGAGGTGGGGGGGGGGGGAAGCTTTGTACATCGCCTGCCCATCGGCCCCTGGGACCCTTCAGAGTTTAGGCTCCAGTGGTCATCAAGGGCCATTGAGGTGTCACACGGTGGTGCCAGGCGGTACATCCTCTCGGTGTGTGTGTGTGTGTTTGTGTGAGCGGTAGTGTAGCGGGTAGGGGCTGGCGCGCTGGGCTCCGGACCTGGCGGGCCGAGTTCGATTCCCGCTCACGGCCAACACCGTTGACGATTATCTGAACCCGGTCCTGGGCCCTCTGTAAGGTTTGAATCGGCCGCAAATGAATACCTGGTGCGGTGCGTAGTAAACATCGTCACTCAAGAGAGACAAAGGCGGCCGGGCGTGGTGCTGGCCGTGCCGGCCTTCAGAGGTGCCACTTGCTAACAGCACTTGCCCCAACAGCCTGTCAAGGCTATAGGGGGGATCTTTGTCTTTTGTGAGCGAGATGGCTTACTGGCCAAGACAAATCCATCGGTATCATCATCATGATCAATAGCATCATTATCAAGATCACAGTCATCATCACATTTTCAATATTGTGATTATGATAGTCATCATTTTCATCATGTTCAATATCATCATCACGGTCCTCAATGTCACGATCATCATCGGCACCGTTTTCGATACTATGGTGTGATCATCGTTGTGGCCATTGCAAGCCATGGTCATATCCGCTGCTGAATGAATTACTCCCTCTGGTCATCGCCGTCTCAGCGATGTCACAATTTTTATATATATTCCGAGCATTCGATGCTGGCGGCCGATTCAGCTGCTTAAAAAAAAAACACGAGAAGCCCCCCCCATCCCCACCCCGATAACTTCCCGGTTTTATCTTGCCAAGCAAAGCAACGGGGTTGGCGGGATCGTGCACAGATAGAGCCACCAAGTGCGTGAAGACATCATCAACCTGCGGGGGAAATTTGAGACGTTTTCGAGAAGGGCTGTCCAGCAAGTAGGTTGCTCGTATCTGCCAACCGACGGGATAACCACCACCCCAACCTCCCCCCCCCCTCCCGTGCGGCGCGACCCTCGGCGTGTCCGTTGTCCGATGTTCCGTCTCCCTGCTAACAGCAGGACAGTGAACTCTGTCAGACGGCAATTATTGCTTCTTGCTGCTAGGTGTGGCTCCTTCCCCCCTGCCGGACCCCCCCCCCACCCCGTGCCTCTTGGCACGCTGCCAAGTGACGGTGTGATCGGGATAGGTATCGGTTATTACCGCTGAGCAGGCGTTGTTTTCAGGGAGCCACAGTGACGAGATGTTAACTACCTCGCCTGGTATGCGGGAGGTCGTGGGTTCGATCTCGACCCTGACGCCTGCTGCTGTATATTTGGAGCGCGCGTGTCTCTCTTTCTCTCTCCTCTTCCGGTTTTACCCTCCACGTTTTAGAATCAACATCGCGCGTTCTGAGTACTAGGTGTGCTACTTAAAATGTCCACGTCATGATGATGAGCCACTTCGTTGAGCCGTCATTTGTGGCCGGGCCGCTTCCGTAAAAAGAGCCACGCAGCTCGGTGGGCCTTACCTGGTGTAATAAAAAAAATAGTTTATAGTTTTAGTTATATCTCTCGCGTGCCTCCCGCCGCCGCCGCCCGTTCTCTGCGGAGACGGTGCGGCGAGTGGTTTTCACCCTGCGCCATGGCGCGCGAGCTCAACGAGTCGAAGGGCATCCATCGCCGGTGCTCTCCGGTTTGCCAGGGTCAAAAGTGGTGGATGGCGGTGTCCTTCGTCCAACCCTGGCCAACTGTCTCGGACACTCTGCAAACGTGATCGCTGGTGCTGGTGGTGGTGGTGGCGATGACGATGCTGCTGCTACTGCCACTGATGATGGTAGGCGCGCATGGCCAACGTCGCCCGGGCAGTGGCGGCTAATTCATCTGCCGTGACCTCGAGTTCAAGTGCGGCTGACATCGGCGGCGAATTATACGCGAACCGGTTTTTGAGGCCACTCCTTCACGAACCCGCACTGACCAGCGTGGTGCAGTATGGGGGGTGGGGAGGCAGGTGCTCGGGACCGTTCGGATATTTGCTCTCCACCCAGGACTTTCGGCTCAAGCCTCCCATCAAAATTTTGACTTTTGTGCAGCCACTCCCATGGTGAGCCCTTCCCCTCTCGCCTGGGGAAAAGAGGGCTCCGCTCTTCTGCTCGCCACTCCTTCTCTGTTCCTAATCTCATCATCACCGCCCTCTCATCATCTCCCCCCCCCCCCCCTCCTCAGTCATTCCTTCTCTTCTTCCTCCTCCATTTCCCTGCTGCTCCTCGCTCCGCGCTGCCCATCTTGAGCCGTGCCCTCCTCTTTGCCCGTCTTGGGCAGCGGCTCTTAACCTGGGATGCACGCACCCTCTGGGCGTGCGAGACGCCTCATCAAACCCTCTGTGCTTTTATTTTACGTGATCTTTTTGTTTGTTTACGAATGAGAACCAAAAGGGTGCAAGGCTGCAGTAAAAGGTGAAGAACCCACTGGCCTTGGGGAACTTCCATCCCGGCCTCCCTTCCCTCTCTCTCTCTCGTTCCTTTTCTCTTTGTCCATTCATTATTCCATCCCTGACTCTACTCTCATTCCCGTGGTGTGGCCACGGGTGATGCTGTTGTTGCCATTGTAACAATAACAATAAATATAACAATTACCCACGTGTTCAACGAAATGCACGTGCAGGAATCGTGGGTTAACACGTAGGAGGCTTCCGCGAATATAATCCATAAGAGTTTTTTTTTTGGGGGGTTAGATCGCGTAAATATAAATGTGTCGTGAAACCCGCCACCACCCGACACAGCCAATGAGTAAGGTTTATCACAGAAACAAAAACGAACCAAAGACCTCTTCTGGAATCGTGGGCCTCTCCCGAGCGGACAATCAATATCTCTCCGCGTCCCCCGTGTGTGCGACAGGGCGACCAACAACACGAAGGTGCGCGAGTCCGTGTCCCTGGAGCTGAGCTTCGTGAACTCGAACCTCCAGCTGCTGTGGGAGGAGCTCGCCGAGGTGAACGGCTCCGTCGACGTCTATCAGCCGGAGAGGTACGGCCGCGATTCACGCTACTCGGTCGCTCGCGCTCTCGCTCGCTCGCTCACTTGCTCTCTGTGCGAGTCTGTGTCTTTGTGCGAGTCTGCGGGTTTCTATGGGAGTCTGCGGGTCTCTGTACAAGTCTCTGTGCGAGTCTGCGGGTCTCTGCGCGAGTCTGCGGGTCTCTGTGCGAGTCTGCGGGTCTCTGTGCGAGTCTGCGGGCATTTAGTCTATGGGGGCAGTGAAATCCAGACGACCAGAGTCGTGACAGAGAGGCGACGTTCGCCCCCTTATCAGGTTCGGGAGACGTCGTTTCATCGTGCGCAACATGTGATTAAACAGCAGAAGCCCCTTAAAAGGCCACACACATCAGCGTAATTTTCATGAAGGGGGGATTTTTTAAAAAACATGTTGACGTGTCCCTCGTCGTTGTTTCGCTCATACTTGTGGTTCCTCAGCCGTGGACAACATATTGTTGTTGTGTTTTTTTTCTTACAAACGATGGCTCAGCATAGTTCGCAACCACAGCAAGTATTTCACCCCCCCACCCCCCCAATTCTGCTGCTGATGATACCCTGACGGTCAAAGCCAGCCCAGAGAGATGCAGAGTCATCGTCGTAATTGTTGTTGGTGTTGAGCAGCATGAGGAGCATCGTTACCCCTCTTCATATCAAACCTCAAATCCCCACCACCAACCCTGCTGTCTGAAACCAAGATGCCCGCTTTGTGAACACGAGATGTTAACTCCCTCACCTGGTATACAGGAGGTCGTGGGTTCGATCTCGACCCTGACGCCTGCTGCTGTATATTTGGAGTTTGCGTGTCTCTCTCTCATCATCATCACGGTGACTGAGATGTTAACTCCCTCACCTGGTATACAGGAGGTCGTGGCTTCGATCCCGACCCTGATGCCTGCTGCTGTATATTTGGAGTTTGCGGTGTCTCTTTCCCCGTGGTCGCGTGGATTTTTCTCTGGTTTTTCCCTCCATTTAGAATCGACATCACCACTGCGTTTTTGTGCATTTGGCTGCAATAAATTTCCGCACGATGACGATGAGCCACCTTCGTTGAGCTATCCCTTTGTGATGGCCTGGTCACTTCTGATAAAAGAGCTAAGATCGCTCAGTGGGCCTTACCTGGTAAAATCAAGTTAGTTTTATCAGCCCAAATGCACTCCCCATGCCACCCAGTGGCGTGCGACGTGGGGGGTGGTGGGGGGGGGCTTCGAGGCGGGGGGCGTGAGGGACACGGCGGCGTGCCAAAACCAGAGCCCCATACCGAGGAGCCGGCGAAGGAACGGCCGTCGTTTATCGCTGTTGCCCCGACGACGCCAGTGGTGGCCGCTCCCAACAACCACGTCCCGACAATGACGACAACAACCGTTCCCCGACGACAATGACGACAACAACAGCGTCCTGACGACGACAACGACAACAACGCCGACAACAACGACAACAACGACAACAACGACAACAACTACTCCACTCGGCTACCCCAATACAACCACGTGTACTCTGGTGGAACGAGCGGACTACTCCGCTCGGCTACCCCGATACGACCACGTGTACTCTGGTCGGAACGAGCGGACTACTCCGCTCGGCTACCGTGGAAAGACTCGAAGCACTAACCAAACCAATGGCAAAGCGAAAGGAGGCGTAACGGAGTGTACGAGCCGCTGTGGCGGCGATGGGCGCCGTGACGGGCGCGAGTGCCGTAGCCGATCAGGGCTTGCGTCAAGGCCACCGCTCTTGTAAAACGCCGATTGTGGCGGTAGCGCCCCCTCTCCCCCCCCCCCCCCCCACCCCGAAGCACCCACACGTCCACGCAGCAGCGCCCATCCGCAAACACACAAGCGCAGACGCTCGTATAGCGGTTTAACAGTCCACGTGTATATTTCCCCGGTTCCCATCCGGATTGAGTCGCAAAGCGTCGGTGGGGGGTGGAGGGGGCGGGTGGTTGGCTCCCCCATTGTTCCAATTTATGAAGGAGATATCCCCACACCTTCTTCCTCCTCTTCCTCCTCCTCCTTGGCGTTGTTGTTATCGTCACGCGGTTGTTGTTGTCATTTGGGTTACCGATCGCCGACGAACGGATCGCAGCGCGATGTCGGACGTGAGGACGTCCATAAACCGTTACAACAGCAGCTCCCGGCAAAACTTTCCAGGCCCCAAAAAAACTGTCCGGAAGCGCAAGCTCTGCTTTTTGAACGTCAAACGCCTCCCGCTGCGCTTTCGGAGCGAGCGGGGGGGAGGGGGGGGGACGTTCGTCGGGAGGGTGTGGGGAACAAGACCGACACGGGAGGAAGGTTTCTCCACAACTCGGGCCGTCAGCCTGACGAGGTTCGTCGTAATCGCGGTACTCGGGTTTGTAAATGTTGTCGTGGGTTTAATCTCCAACACGCAACCGGTGTGTCCTCAACTAGTAACTAGTTGGCACGTTTTCGTTTTACGTGATATACCTTACTAAACGGCTGTGTCACGTGGTGGCGGGTTTAATGGCACATTCATATTTACGCGATCGAATCCAACAAAAACATTTATTATGGATAATATTGGTCGCAAACGCCGAATAGTACTGCGTGTTTTAAACTGACCCGTGTTGTATCCAAGGTTAGATCAACAAACATCTGTAGGCAATGAACCGGTCCTGGGCCTCCCGTAGGTCGACTCGGCTAGTAAACATCGCCACCGGGGAGACAAAGGCGGCCGGGCGTGGTGCTGGCCACCCACCCCACTCGTGCGCCATACCGGCCTGCTACTCTCTAACAACACCTTGCCCCAACATTCTGATAAGGCTATGCGGGGGATCTTTGTCTTTTGACGCACTGTCAGACGGAGGAGGGGAAGTGTTCTTTGTTGGCCCCGTTGTGATTTTAAAGGGTGAAGGGAAAAAAAAAACACCTCGGTGTTTTTCACCGTGTAAAGGTTTTATTGAACTTCTGTGACAGAATAACATTTGCTTAAAGCGAGGCGCCTTTGTTGTTAAGACCCGTATTGACATAATCGTGACATTTTCGCCACCGCAGCCGTGCAATAAAAATGATCATCAGAGTTCGATTCCAGGCCACGGCAAACGTCTGGTGGCGTGCGACGTCCGAACCGGTCCTGGGTGACTACCCACTTGGACAACCCGCACTGACCAGTGTGGTGAAGTATGGCTGTTCAGCGTGCGAGTGTGGGGAGCGGTGACGCAGTGGTCGGCCGTACACACCCGGCGACCCAAGTTCGATTCCTGGTCATGGCCAACATTGGTTATGAATATCTGAACCAGTCAGTCATGGGTCCTCCTCTAAGGTTGGCTCGGTCTCAAATGAGTACCCGGCGTGTTTTAAATATCAGCACTGGGGAGACGAAGGTGGCCGGGAATGGTGCTGGTTACCACCCATTCCTCTTGTGTGCCATGCTAACCTCCATGGGTGCTCGCTGAACAGCACTTGCTCCAACAGGCGGTTAAGGCTATGTGGGGGAGCTTTACCTTTGTCAGCGCTGGTTAGGTTAGGTAATTCGTGGGCACGAGACGGGATATATATTTCATTCTGATATCTGCGGGTAGCAGTGCAGCATCCTGTATCAGAGAACAGCCCTGTGAGTTGATGTCACAGAACTAGTTCTGAGTTCGCTTCAGTGTAGGGCTCTTTATTCACACCGGGGAGAGGCGCTTCAACTTTTTTTTGTAATCTTTCCCATCTCCATCGAACCAACATTTTTTTTTAAGTCTCAGAAATTGAACTTTTTAACTAAAGTGAGAACATTTCAATTGAATGGAGTTTACCGTTTTGTTGTTGATGTAGTCACAGCCGGGAGATGGAATCCAACCGGCGACCTTTAGCTCGCAAGTCCGCGAGTGTTCTGCTCATGTAAGATAATTAACCTAATTGTCTTTTTGTTTATTTTTTTTACACATTGCTGAGACGAGGCATACAAATTCCACAAAACTGATTTCTTTTCAGGGGAGCGGTGGCGCAGTAGTTGACACGCTTGCACTATGAACCCGGTGGTGGCCCGATTATCGAAGGCAAGAGGGGTGGGGGGAGGGCACTGGGTCGGTATTACATGACCAGCGAAATGTCCACAAAGCCCTCAGTGGGATTCCACAGCCAACCGCGGAGTCGACAAACCCCGGACTCCTTGGGTCAAGTCTCAGCTGGGATTACGGATGACTGACCGACCGGCCGACTGACAGGCCGGCTGACCTGACTGGCTGACCGACCTGACTGAATGACTCGCTGACTAGCCGACTGGCCGACTGACTGACTGACTGACGGACTGGCTGGCTGGCCGGCCGACTGACCGGTTATTTACGGCATTGCCGTGACCGCGAGAGCGGCGTCGTGCCAATATCGGTTTTCGCCTCGGTTAGGGATTGTCAGCACAGCGGAGCCGATGAGTGCGGCCGATCCAATCTGCGCCGAAATTTCCGCGTTTGGCCGATGTTAAAAAATATGTTTTTGTTTCAATGAATTTGTTTGCATAAAATATACATTCGCCTGCAAAAGTGGCTTAAGTATTTTTTATTTCGATTTTTACGCCTATGCGTCGCTTTACCGTTGGACGGTGAACTGTGAGGTGGAACGAAAATCCCCGAGCGCGACGATGGCTACGGCCGCCACCCAGAGACCACCGCGTGACCGCCCGTGACGACGCAAAGCATTCGCCGTGGTCACCGATGTGGCTGATGTGATTTAATATTGGACCCCGATACCTTGCGTCCATGAGACGCGTTCTCCCAAGCCGCGTTGCGCTCTCGGTGCCAGTGGCACCGTGTTGACGAAGAGGACGTACCTTGCCATTCGCGCAGTTGTTCATTGATTGGTTTAATTCACGGCGGTTTTTGGGGGGGGGGGGGGGGGGTTGCTGTAGTAACCGGGTTTGTACATCAGTATGTTGAACTTCTTTCGCGCCGTACGCTGCCGAATGCGCTAATCGGAGGTGCGCTAACCTGGTTACACCGTATCTATGGGACATTTTTTTGAGTATCAAAGATAATGAACAATTAGAATAGGTTTTACCTAATG